CTGGATTTTACACGAAAATTTGGTTATTGAGAAAAAAATTTAGTCAAATTGGTCATTGTGTTTCCCAAAATTTACAATTTAAAAATATTCTGTTAAGTGCAGTTTCTATTTTTATTTTTTAGGAAGCACTTCAGTCTTCTCCCTCTAATTGAACGAGTTAGGGTGTATTGTGCCATTATGGTTTAACAATTGGGGAAAATATTAGGGTGAAATGGAAATTGTAAGGTATAAGGAAAATAAAAAAGCCAAACCAAATTAAAATGAAATCAACAACTTACCAATATATTTTGGTGCTTTATCATCTTGATTACATCTCCTTGTCATCCGAAGTCATAATATGGTAATCACTCAATCGATTCAGGCTTCAATATAACATCTAATTCGTGACCTTATACCTCACAATTTTGATTTCAACCAAAGATTTCTCCAAACTTGTTAAATGCTAATAGCACAATATACCTATAACTCTGAGTTAGAGGAAGAAGACTAAGCGTGCTTCCTAGAAAAATATCCTTATCTGATCTCTGTCTCTCTGTCTCTCTCTCCCCTCTGTATCCCTCTCTGTTTGTCTGCACTCTCTCTCATTTTCTTCCCCAATCCAACTTTGACCCAACTCTACAGCACACCCCCGACCACAAATACCCCTCCCATCCACCCCAAACTCGTATCCCCCCGTTTCGACCCACCACCACAGACACCCATCGTCCTAACCCTCTCATCTTTGTACATTATAATTTTCCATAAGAATAGTGGGTGCCGACCGAAGGAAGAAGATGGTTGTTCGAGTGTCTTGAGAAGGTTTTTGACAAATCAGAGTGTTTGGTCTTTAACGGAGGTGGTTCTTTTTCTTTGGGTTGGAGACGGTGGTAGCTTTTCAATTCTTAAGAGAGGAGGGAAATTGGCTTCTCAGTTCTTTTAAGAAGGAAAAAAAAAGTTTTTATATTTAAACCCCACACTTTTTTTTGTTCACTCAAATGCTTAAATCATTAAGCTCTTAAGTTTTATTATTGTGTAAAAAGACAAAAAAAGTCATCCAACTTAATACTTAACCCTAGTACGTCTATACACACACCCCACCACTTTTCATATTAAGTTTTAGAAAAACACAAACTCCTCTACACCCTATTGCCAAATTACTCTTCAATCCAAGAAACCTATTACTCTTATTTTCTCTTCACAAAACTTCCTAGTTCATGCTCAATGCTGCTACACATTTGACAATAGTGTTTTTCTTTAAGTAATGTGAGGTTGAGGTGAACCTAAATTGGTGAGGGGCGAGATAGCGGTGTGTGGGGTGTGAGGTTGATGAGTTTTTTAATTTTTTTTTCTTATGCTTGGTGTATATTTAGAGGTAGTTTGAGAAGATAGTCGAGTTTTCTTAGAAATTGTGAAAATTTAAATTAGAAGTTGGAGTGAACTAAGAATGTGAGGTGAACAAAGAGAAGTACGAGGTTTAATTAGAAAAACTAAAAAAAAAAACTGTTCGGATACCTTTTATGGCGGGTTTCACTTCTATAAAGAACATGGATTTCATCCCACGTGCTTTGCATGCGATGGCATCAAACGTTGATGCATCGGTACTTTACGGTACAATAGAGGCACTCCATTTTCTGACCGAGTGGGTACCCAGGAGAACCCAGGAGTCCAAGTGCTCATTTACCTAACGAACGTCATTCTTTACCTCACGAACGTTGTAGAAGTCGTTCGTACGATAGTCTGACTGTCAAATTTTTGTTGAATACTGACGTGGCAATTAATGGGCTCACTCATCACTCATATTGTGCCACCTGGAGTGAAAAAACAAATAATGAAAAGTTATTGAATAAATATTTTTATTTTTATTTTAAAAAAAAACCATCTCCTCATCGCCCCCACGCACCTTCTTCCCCAAACCCGAACGCCCAATCTTCCCCACCATCTCCTCACCGCCATCCACCTCCATCCCAACCTCTCCTCACCGCCTCCCCATACTCTCTTTCTCTCTCGCCCCCCTCTCTCTCTTTGAACGAACTTAGGCCCTGAAAGTTTTAGCTGCGATAAGAATTGCTAAACAAGCAATCAGCTCCTCCTAATTTTCGTTGAGTTTCTTCTTCTTCTCCTTCCTTCTGCTCAGGTAACTCTGTGTGTGTGTGTGTTACGGATTTTAGTTGTATGATGAATGCTCACTGTTTCTTTATCTTTTGAAATTTGAAAGTAGACAACAAGCCATTGTCACTGTACCACGCTCGAGTGCAACTTCAATGTCGAGTTTCATGGCTGCTGCAAATGTAAATTCAAATTCAAATCCAAATCCAAACAAGTCCTTTGAGGTAAATTCGATCGACTTCCAGTTATTCCTTGCTTTCATGTATTTATTTTCTGAGTTAATTTAGTTTTATTTTGTGTGTTTTTTAGGTCGCTCAACCTCCAAACGACTCCATATCAAGCCTAAGTTTCAGTCCCAAAAGCAACATTCTGGTCGCCACCTCCTGGGACAACCAGGTTCATGTTCTTTTTCTTTTCTTCGTTTTTCTTTTTGTGGTTTTTATCAGTTATAAAACCTTAGGTTCTGTTTGTTTGCTAAGAAATTTATTTGTAGAGATTTTGATTGAATTTCTGTACCATCTCATTGAACTTGTGGTTTATTGAGAACCCAGAATATAAGACAATATGCTATGAGGTTAACATAAATTTTTTTGGGTACAATCTGCTTATGTAATTCATGTTAACTGAAATAAGACAAACATTGGGCATTTATAATTTCTGCTCTTTTCCATTTCCTTTCTTTCGCAACCAAACAGTGTATTGTTAGGATTTGGTAATGACTGGTGGTGTTCCCTGGTTTAGGTGCGATGCTGGGAGATACTCCAGAGCGGAACAAATCTTGCCAGTCAGCCCAAGGCAGCGATATCCCATGACCATCCGGTAACATATCTGACTGCACATCGTTGAGGCCAACTTGCTTTTTTTATTTTTATTTTTTCGATTCTCAAGCTTGATTTTGAACCTCTTGTATAATTATGGATATATGCACATACTGGCTTACAATGAGTCAATTATAACTTTCTATCGCAGCAATGGTGGAGTTAGAAATACCTGTTCAGAATTTAAATTCTAGATCGCCTGCCTTTACTTGTAGAAGGACAGAATAATAATAGTAATTATGGTAGGTGTGAGACCTTTTTGCAAGATCTTAGGTTTCCAATGAAGACGTCAAGGACAATTGCAATCTGGCGCTGATTTCAAAATGAGTAAATTTAGTAGTATCTTTATGCAATATTATTTAGAAAGATAGAGGGTCCTTTTTGAGCAATGAACGAGCATGTGCATTTAATTTGAGAGTGCATGGGATCAATGTGTGTCCTTTAAGGAAATTCTGTGATATAACTTACAAAGTTTTCTTTCTTTCTTTATTGTAAGCTGGTGATTCGTGATTTAGTATACGCATTGTAATACAATCCATCTATATAGGTTTTGTGCTCAACTTGGAAAGAGGATGGAACGACTGTGTTCTCTGGAGGTTGTGACAAGCAAGTTAAGATGTGGCCTTTGGGTGGCCAGCCAGTAACTGTTGCCATGCATGATGCACCCATTAAAGAGATTGCTTGGATCCCTGAGATGAGCCTCTTAGTCACAGGAAGCTGGGACAAGACTATGAAGTACGTAAAACATAGCATTTGTTCTTATGTATTTTGAGCTATCTGAAATTTATACACCAGAAATTTGTGTGGTATTCTTTCTAAAATAATTCATTTAAGGTTATGGGAGGTAGTGCCACTGAGAATGTTGTGCTTTGCTCCTGCCAGTTTTGCACCCTTTTTGCTCATATATTTTCTTCTTTATTAAAGAATGTTCTCATTCTTCTGAGAACTAAGTTTCTTCTAGTTGTTGAGGTGTTGTATTGTTTTTCTACCTTGACTTATTTCATAAATTACTAAAGCTTTGTCATCTTGCCTTGGTATCAAGTTTTCTGTTTATTATGTATGATCTTTTCTGCCTATCTTCAGGTATTGGGACGTGAGGCAGCCAAATCCAGTGCATACCCAACAACTACCTGAGCGCTGTTATGCTCTATCAGTGAGATACCCTCTAATGGTTGTTGGCACAGCAGACAGAAATCTGATTGTTTTTAACTTGCAGAACCCACAGGTAAATTTTATTTTTAGGAGTTATCAGATTAGATTTATTTATCAATTTCATGCAAGAAAATCACATTAAAAAGTAAATCAGGCTTACTTATTTAGTAACTTTGTTCATGAAGGTGATCAAATCACACAGAGAATATAGGCTGTTTTTTTAAAATAATTTTTTGGCGGTACTATGAGGATAAGCTTCTTTAGTTTTTTGGTTTTCAATTCCAGTACATCACTCTTCCACAATAAATTGCAATGGTGCTGGGATATATTCTCTGCATGATTTGATCACCTCCATGAGCGTTCTCTGTTTTGCCTCGAAATTTAATTATTTCCAATCACCAACAGACTGAATTCAAGAGAATTCTTTCGCCCCTCAAGTATCAAACAAGGTGTGTTGCTGCGTTTCCTGATCAGCAAGGATTCTTGGTAAGTATTTTCTCTTCTGCTCGTAGTTTTCTGTTCTGGGTTCTCTCTGAAAATATAGTTCTCCTCTTTTTCAAATAGCTTAGGTAGAATGACAAACTAAAATATGGTATTCTTGCATAATTATTTCCACCAAACATGAATTATTCATGGTGTGCTTTCTTGTTTATGAATAGCAATTGATTAATGTGATAATTTCTGGAGACACAAGCATAACCTTAGTTATCTAGGGGATATAAAGAATCTGAAGAATATGAGCGGTGACCAGTTTATTTAAAAATCTTGGACTTTGACATAGAGATTATTGTAATTTCTCAAAATGAGATTAAGAAAAAAAAGGGCGAGAAATTTAAACAAATGTTTGTTCAAAGTTGATGTGCCTCTTTGTCATCAGTTCTTCCGTTTGCCATTGTACTTTCTTTTTCTTGACTTATGTGATTGTTGAAAATGATGTAAGATCATGCATACTCAGTCTTTGCTTCATAATTTTTATCTTCTCTGAATAGTTAACTAATTATGATTCTGACATTATGCGTAACCAGGTTGGCTCCATTGAAGGGAGGGTTGGCGTACATCATCTGGATGAACAACAACAAAATAAAAACTTTACCTTTAAGTGCCATAGAGAGGGCAGCGAGATATACTCAGTCAACTCTCTGAACTTCCATCCAGTATGTTTTGTATTACCATTCCTTTGCCTTTTTATTTTTCATATCTATATATATATATATATATACAGAAATTCTCCTATGCGGACATCTGGACGTTATTATCGTGTGGACGCCATGTATTTTGTACTACCCCTCCGTGCTTTCCTGCTTGTTTACAATAGCATCCGCACGATAATAACATGCGGACATCCGGATAAGAGAATAACTATATATATATATTCTGGATAATGCACTGAGCGGCTTAATAATGTTTGTATTTCTTCTGGTGGATTACCTTAAGCTTATGAAACCACTTCGTTAATTTAGTGTTCTCATGTTTCAGTATCCTAGTTAAGAAAAATTGCTGAGATTGTTTTCAACCTTGTGATTCATAGAGTATGATGTTTTTGTATAAGTATGGTATTAGTTTCATTGCTATAGTCCGCACCTTAAGATTACACGACTTGTATATTATTCTATCTATCGTGAGGATTTCAGATTTTATGCTATCTATCATTCAGGTTTCAGATTTTTGATATCAGTGGATTTATTGGCATATGCACGAATTTTTAAGTTTCCTTTAAATATATTTCAGTTGATTTTGTTCTATTATATGAGGTAACTTTAAGTGCATTTAGATCAGTGTACTTTGTTTTACTAAAGAATTATGACTGGGAATGCCTAATTTTGATATTTTCTATGATCAGTCTGAACTTTTTTTGCAGCATTCATTGCCATTCATTATGGTTCTTGTTAGGTTGTTCAAAGAAATGTTGGATAAATCTGTGTTTTCATGTTCTATTACTATTGTTTGTAATTTTAAAGCTTATTTGGGTCCCTTGTTTCAGGTGCATCACACATTTGCTACTGCTGGTTCTGATGGTTCTTTCAATTTTTGGGATAAGGATAGCAAACAGAGACTAAAGGTTTCTCCCACATCATTTTTCTATTTCTTTTGTCTTTGTATTATGTGCTTCTTAACTGTTGGTTCTGTTCTGATAAGTAAAAGCTAAGCTGGCAGGCTTACTTTGTTGTCTTTAATTCTGCAGAACCCATATTCTTTTACTGGCATGACCTTGCCAATTCTCCAACTATCTCCTTGTTTATATGTTTTGTCTATGGCTGATCCTATGTATTTATATGCGTATAGGTGTCTGATACAGCTTTTTCTGATTTTTCAGGCAATGTCAAGGTGCAATCAACCCATACCTTGCAGTACATTCAACAATGATGGTTCCATATTTGCATATGCGGTAATTCTAACTTTTCTGGGTTTCCTCTTCCAAATCTGGGGTCAGAAATGTATACAATTCATGTTCTTCAACTGGTTTAAAGTAGTAGAAGTAGTTATGTTAGATTACATTTTGGGAAACAGAGTACGGCAAGCTCAAACTTTATGAGGAGAGGTCATTCAACTGTACACTATTATGGCATTCTTTTATTATCTAGGTACAAAGGAGACCAGAGGGAAGTTCAAACTTTGTGCTTGATTCGGGGGGTAAAAATCCATTGGAGCTACAATCCCCCATGACTAATGACTTTATAGTAAACCTCCTTGAATATTTGGATTGTTGTTGTACCAAAATTTCAGGCAATGCTTTTTGTGGATGTATTTTTCTAATTAGTTCTTGCAATGATGATCAACCTTTCTGCAATCTCAATTGTACCTCCAATAAACCTTAGCTCTACATGCTTGCTCACCTTTAACTATTGTTTCTTTTTTCCATTGCTGTGTGCCACTGTACAATGATGTTTCTTTCTGTACACAAGTGACTAATGGTGGTCTGTGGTTACAATATCTTAGAGTAATTAAATGCCTCGCATTGCATTTTTAAATTGATGGTTATGCTTTCTGTACAAGCCAATATGACTTGAAAACCAAACTCTCCACATATTTTCTTCTCATAATTTGAAATCGAAGATCTTTTCCAAACTTGTGTTTGCAGGTTTGCTATGATTGGAGCAAGGGTGCTGAAAATCATAATCCAGCTACCGCAAAGAACTACATTTTCCTCCATGTGCCACAGGTATATTCAGACAATACATTTCAACAGTTTTGTTTATGATGTCCTGAAAATACTCGGGACTGCACGTTTATATGTTTCTTTGGTTGCAGGAAGCTGAGGTTAAGAGCAAACCACGAGTCAACACTGGTGGAAAAAGGTGAAGCTGGTCGACCAGCCATGTTGGTTATGAGCTATTTCTGTATATGGAAGTTTTTAGTTACCAATGTTTGATCAAGGCTAGCCCTTCTGACAGACGTTTAGGCAGGAATTTTTTATTTTTTATTTTTGGTGAGAGACGGGAAGGTTCCTCTAGTCCTCGTTTTTTGAGTTTCCATTCCTCTTGAAGCTGCACCCATCGGTTTGTTCTTAGACTAGGTTGTGCTGCAAATATTCCTTTTCTGGAGCTAAAACGATCTGACTGGATCTTGTTCTTTTGTTCTGTAAATTCATAACCTTAAAAAGCTCACTGACCTCAGATGTTTGTGCCTATTCTAATGCGAACTTACAGGTTCTAACATAGACATTTACCTGTACTACCATTAGGTTCCTTTAGTTGTATTGCTCAAAATTAGTAAAATCACTTTATATATAAACTAGCCAAATGGGGTCATACCATAGAGGAAAAGTATGTTTGGCCTAAGATGAGTGGTCTCAGGTTTGAAACCTCTATATGCCCAAGTGCGTGACTAAATTCCCCTTCTTACCTTTGACAAAAATAGATTTATATAATTAAACTAAATTACTATACAATAAAAGTTAATTACTATAAAGGATTCTAGTGTAAGCTCGTATTGTTAAGTCGTTAACATAATTGTGCATTGTTAGGCCCTGTCGATAAAACGAGTTACAACCAACTCGTTCGTGAAAAACATGAGGTTGAAGACGATCTCTTAAGAAGGGCTAATATTCTTTCTTTTTTTGGGGAAGAAATAAATTAAAAGCAGCCATTCTTTGGTGAATTCAACCAGCCTTTATTGGTCACTTACCAATTATTTATCGACTTAAGGAAAAACGAAAACCAGAATAAATTTAAGGAGAATGATGACATGTGAAGCTATATGGTTGCGGGGATAATGAGCATTTGGTCCATTAGTATTTGTTTGGGGTTCTTAGATATAGGTTCAAAACGATTAGTTGTCATTGCGTTTATGGTCATTTTGGGATTACTGTCACTCTTTAAAAAAGTTGCTTTTTGCTTTGAAAATAATTAGATGTAAAGTAAAATAGTTCCATGTTTGGTAAACAATATTTTTAAAGTGATGTCGTTTGGTAAATTTTATTATAAAAATGTTGTAACTATGAATAATGACTAAAATAGATATGATGTTGAAAATGTTGTGTTAATCATGTAGTGGTAGTGGTGGTGATGAAAGAGATTGAGGTGAAGGTGATGGTGGTGGTGATGAAGGTGGAGGTTGAGATGGAGGAGGATGTAGTGAAAAAGGTGATGGAGGTGGTGCTGGTGGGGTTGGAGGTGAGATAAAGGTGTCAGTGGTAGTGATGAAGGCAGAGGGGGAGATGAAGGAGGAGGTGGTGAAAGAGGTGGAGGTGGGGGTGCAATTGGAGGTGGAGGTGGAGGTGAAAGTGGTAGTGGTGGAGGTGGTGCTGGAGGTGGGGTTGGAGGTGAGATAAAGGTGTCAGTGGTGGTGATGAAGGCAGAGGGGGAGATGAAGGAGGAGGTGGTGAAAGAGGTGGAGGTGGGGGTGGAATTGGAGGTGGAGGTGGGGTTGGAATTGGAGGTGGAGGTGGAGGTGAAAGTGGTAGTGGTGAAGGTGGAGGTGAAAGTGGTAGTGGTGGAGGTGGTGGTGGTGATGAAGGTGGAGGTGGATGATGTCATTTAACGATGGTATTGTGGGAATTGAAAAAATTCATTAAAGGCTCATCTTTGATTCTTTTGAAAGCAGCTTTAAAAAGCAAACTAGTTGCTGTCAAAATGCCATTACTTTTAAAATAATCAAGATATTTTATTTTTACCGAACATCTTAAAATGCCTTAACTTTAAAGTGAAACAGGTTTTTGGTGAAAAAGCAATCCCAAACGGTGCCTTAGTCCCGCGTTTTTTGTTTTAGATGTAGATCCTTTGACTTTTATTACTATTTTTGTTGTGTCGATTTTACCCTTGAGGCAAAAAAGGAAAACACATTGAAAATCCAAATTCAATGCATTATTTCATTGTAATTGAATTTTAGAATTTAAATTTGAATTCTTTCCTTGATAATATTTACCTAATATAGGGATAATATACAATTTAATCATTGAAAGTAAAGACCCACATATTATACCAATCGATTAGACAAGCACCCATATGAAATTATGTACCTATGGATAAAGTAAAATCCACATATTTAAAACAAAATATGGTTAATACTTATCAAGTTGATTGGTGGTGTTTAAGCATAACAACAAATAAAACTGTTGGGAAAAACAATTAAAACAAGAAAACTATTGATAACGTTTTACTTGATATATAGGTAGTATAAGCATAGCTTTCTAACGTACCCAGTTACAGTAAGATGTTATATTGTCTTGAACCACTTCATGTGGTCTTCTAATCATACAGAAATTTAGTTATATATCCATTCTTAGCATTAGTGTTGCAGATAAACACAATACCATTTATTTCTATAAATAAACCCAAAAAAACCCCAAAATTGACAGTTGTACATTTATTTAGCTTAATCAATGAGATGAAATACTTTCATTGCCCTTTTAGCATTAAATTGCTTATAATCTTATTACCTTATTTTCCTTGTTCTTTGTTTTCTATTATATTTTCTCACAATTTCACACACGTTTAACACCTCACTTCCTTTTCCAAAATATTCAATATACAATAATAGAGAGAGAGAGAGAGAGAGAGAGAGAGAGAGTAGTTTTCCCACGAAAACAAAATCACGGCAGCCAAACAGTCGATTTGATTTCTGTAGAGAGAGAAAATTTCAATTGTAATAGTTTTTGAGATGGAGAGCTTTCATGTACCATAATCTTCTACGTATTTGCTGTGCTTCTTGTTAAATCCATCAATCTTTGCCGTTCCGATTGTCTGCGGTCATCATTTCGATCATCTGGTGAGATTATCCGATTCCAAAGTAGATCAGCACGTATTGGAAGGTGATGGACCCTCACACATAAAACTCACAATAAACAATATTTGAGAGAAGATAGTTTTATTTCATATTGCTTGGGTGCATCAAACCGATTACAGGACTTCCGCATATATAGTAATCACAACCACTAAAGGTAATAAAGCCCCACTACTTCCCAGTCTTGAATACATGCACTCAATCAACTTCTAGAGTCTTTCCAAATGCTCATACAATAATTAAATACATAACTCTTGAATCTAATTAATAAAGCATGTTTATTTTCAACATTCCCACTTAAACATGGTTCTCTAGTTTGGGACAAACTCCAAGTGATGCTCGCAATCTTCTAAATGTCTCCAACTTCAAAGGCTTGGTGAAAATATATGTAATTTGGTCTTCAGACTTCACATACTTTAGCTCTATCTCCTTCTTGCTTACGCACTCTCTTGTGAAGTGATATCTTGTATCTATATGGGCCTTGCAATGCCTACGCCACTCCATGTTAACCTAACAAACCAATAAGGAGATTTACTTCCTAAGTTAATTAGGTGATTTATTTCCTTTTTTCATATAGTTTACAATCCTTGTATAATTAGGAGATATTCTCCTAATTAATTCATGTATCTATTTCCTTGTAAAGTACACTTGTAAACTCCTATATACTCATCCTTCTAGAGAAGAATACAATTAACCTGAAATATTCAAACCATATTCCTATTTTAGCATGGTATCATAGCGGCCAATCCTAGGTCGTCTCTAAGCCCTCAAATCATATCCTCAAAATCAAACACAAATCCTAAATCAAATTCCATAAGCGTCACATCAAATCCACTTATTGAAATCCCCAAACGCATACCCTTATCAAAGTCTCATATCGTTCCACTATGGTGGCCAACGAACCGCTTTAGCTCACATGAGGATCTTCTACCTCCACCCCTTAAATCAACACCATTCAGAGTGACAACTCCCTACTCCTTGTCGGTGTCACCTTTACTAAGACCAGCTATACCTTATGGTCTTAGGTCATGGAGATTCGAATTGCTGCCCGTGAAAAATTGGGATACCTAACCGGTGACACTCTGAAACCTCCTGAGCTCTCTCCAACCTACAACAAATGGTGTACGGAGAACTTTCGGGTTAAGGGGTGGCTAATCGACTCAATGTCCTATGAATTAATGGGTGGTTTAATCCGGTTAAGTACCGCCAAAGAAATTTGGGATGCCTTCAAGAAGACTTACTATGATGATGGAGATGAATCTTATCTTTTTGATCTGAACAAATAAGCATTCACTATTAAACATAATGGTGCACTCGTTCATAAATACTACATCTAGTTGCAAGGTAGCTTTCAAGAAATTGACCATTAGAGTCCCATCCACATGAACTGCACCACTGACCTTACTGAGCGCCAAACAGAAGTTGATCGTTTTCACGTTCACCTTTTTCTCGCAGGATTTGACCCTAAGTTTGATCAAGTCCGAGGGGAAATACTATGCAAAGATCCTAAATTAGACCTTGACCAAACTTTTTCTTATGTTCGTAGGGATGCTCAACAAATAATGTCCATGACTGGTGCTCAGGAAACTTCTGTCATGGTGGGTCAACATCAAAAGGGGTCACAGACTTTTATAGGTGGCTCTTCGCAGAATAAGGCATGTGGATCTCATTCGAAGAAGAAGTGCACCCACTGTGGAGGAGACAAACATACTCGTGCTGGCTATTACGAGTTGATTGGGTACCTTGATTGGTGGGACCACTCTAAAGCTCCATGCAGGAATTGGACCAAATCACTCAACACATCTTCAGAACCAAATCCTATAAGTTTTGCTGTTTCGGCTACACCGGCTCCTACATCTGCCTCTATAGCCATGACATGTACCAAAGGTTATGTTTTAAATACTTCATCCAGGAAAAACACATGGAGTGACTGACATATGACATTTGATCCTAGATCAATTACCTCTCATACACCATCTCCTCCATCAGTGGTGCCTAATGCTAATGGTATCCCCTCCCTTATGATTGGGGAGGGTTCTTTATCTCTCTCTGACTCCTTCAATTTGAATTCTATGTTGATTGTTCCATCCTTGCATCATAATCTATTGTCTGTTGCCCAAATTACTACGGCTTTGGATTGTAGTGTAACTTTTTGGCCAACTCATTGTGTTTTTAAGGACATCCTTAGCATCAAGACGATTTGTGGTGGTACTAGGAGGGGCAAACTCTACTACTTGGACTTGGCACCTAACAGTGAAGCCATAGTCGGTCAAGCTTTCAATATGGGGGGAGATAGTGTTGAGAAACAAAAAGACAAAGTGTGGTTATGGCATAGGCTTCTTGGACATGCTTCGTTTGGTTATTTACATAAGTTATTTCCGTCCTTATTATC